TTGGCCTCATCCCCTCATCATGATTCTCCCTGTCTACTGTGATCCCAACTCCTGTTATGCCTCAACAGCCTGTTTCATCTGTCCAACCTGTGGTTCCTGCAGCATTTGTGTGCTGCTGAGTGGAGTGGGGTGGGGAGGGAGAGAAGGGAGAGGAACTCAGGTACTTCTTGGTGGTTTCCATAGACACTGCCTAAGATGCATGATTTGTTGACATTCCTGCCTGCTTCTTTGCCAAGATTCTTATTCCCTTCATTCTCAATGATTATCACCTGTAGAAATAAAAACTATTGTTGATAATCCTATTTTCTTTCATAGATCGCAATTTGGGCATAATCTGCCATCTCATTCAGAAGTCCTGTGTTGTTTTTTCACATTCCTACTGTTTTCTGTCCCTCAATGATGCTTTCCCTGCCCACACAGTCCCCACATATGCTTTCATAACACAAAGATTTCATGGCCCTCTCTTTTCCTCTTTCCCTCCTTCTAGATCATTTCCTCCCCCCATATAGTACTCTCCCTCCTTTAATGTCATACACATATTTCTGATTAAATATTTTCCTTCATATACACTACATTGAATTTTTATCCTTTTATTTGTTTCTTTATTTTCCAATGAAATAGTTTTTTTAAATTAGTTTTAGTTTGGTGTGTTTTTTGAGTTTTTGCTGTTGTTGTTTGCAGTATGTCTAAATTGAGGTATTTGTGTACTTGATTTTATACAATTTTTCCAATGTCTATCATAGTGCCTAGTCATCATTATAAGTCTGGGTATGGTGACATAAATCTTTAATGTCAATACTTAAGAGGTAGGTGCAGGAGAATCAGAAGTTGAAAGCAAGCTTTGGCTATGAGTGATCCTATGTTAAAGACAAAACAAACAAACAAACAGACAAAACAAAACAAAACAAAAGAAAGAAATAAAGATGAAAGAGAAAAAAGAAAAGAAACAAACAAGAAGAAAAGCTTAATGAATGAACTCAGTGGATGCAGTCCTTAAAAACGCTATTTTTCCCTGTCCTTTTACTCTTATATTTTGAATTTTATTCAAGAATTGCTGAAATCTTGTGAAGTCATATTTGGTCTTTCCATCAGTGTTGGGCTCACACTCCCTGTGTGATAGGATTGCCCTTACTGAATATTCAGTGGAGACAACCCCAGAAAACACTTGGACTCAGCAGCTCTACCCCAATTACTCCCTTGAAGGAGACACAAGGCTGAGGATTCTTTACGTTTTTAATTTTTACTATCTTGAAAGGAGAGTGCAGACATTGGGAAGAATGTGCTGACAACTTCCAAGCTTGTTAGAGTTTATAAGTATGGCAGCCCCATGCCTCACATAAGAAAAAGCCAGAAGTTATTTATTGGACAAAAGCTTGACTGGACACCTATGTTATCAGAATCCAGGATTTGTCAAACATTTGAAGTCATGACCTTTCTAAATGGCCTCTGGCTGTGTGGTTGATTCTCATTTGCCTCACTTCCCAACCTTTCCTGTTACTCACTTACCAGGTTGTGGCAGCTTCTGATTGGTGTGCTGTACATATATAATCCCATGATGTGGAACCCCGGAATCAACAGTCTTCCTTTTCTCCTAGTATTGGAGCTTGATCTTGTATGTTTCCTGCTCTTCTACTTGTCATCATGAAGCTCCTGGCACTCCTTGTGTTGCTTGGTGTTTCCACTATCCTAGTCTCTTGCCGTAAGCAAAGATTTTTACTTTACCTTGAAATGGGAGCCAGTGAAACATGAATTTATGGATGCCGACATCCTGCTATTTCCTGTCTTCCTATCTTGTACCTGGTTCTATCTCAATTTTTAAACTTAAAGAGTTTTTTTCTTTTTCTTTTTTGTCAATTTATTTATTCACTTGACATCCCCATAGCATTTTTATCAGTGTGTGTGTGTGTGTGTGTGTGTGTCTGTCTGTCTGTGTCTGTGTCTGTGTGTCTGTGTGGGTATGTGTGCCATATGGTGTCAGGGTCTCAAACATATTGTGGTGCATATGAAGAAGTTAGAGATAGGAGCCAGTTCTCTCCTTCAACTATGAAATCAGCTCATATCACCCAGCTTATAAGAGAAGAGTTTTAACCTATTGAGCCATCTTGCTGGTACTCATCTCCATTTTGACACGATTGTAGATAGGTAGGTTGACTCCTCTGGGGTTCCTAATTCAGTCCAGCTTTTCCTCTATTCTAAACATGGCACTGAAATCCTTTTTTAGTTTCAATAAGTTACATTTGAGAAGGTTATTAAAGACTTATTTCAGGGAAGCAAAACTGACCACATGTTAGATTTCAAAGGTTTTCTTCTATCTGTACATGTGCTTCCCTCAATCTGTCTACTTAGTTGTACACATCTATAGTAGTGTTCACATTCTCTATCTCATCAAAATATTACTTAAGTTCTTCTGTTCTTATATTGCTTATTTTTCTTCCGAGGACACAGGGGCAGACAGTGCTGACACTTCCAATACTGGTGAGCCTGAGTCTGAGAATCTTTCATTACCTTCCTACCATAACCATTTTCCCTCCACAACCTGTCAGTAACCAATGTCACTTCGATATTATGAGATGTGAGAAAATTTTAGTAAAATCCACAGAAATCTGCATTTCTGATTATAAAATTATTTTGAATATAAAGATATAATTTTACTCCTCATATAAATATAATTAAGCCTCTGACATGGACTTAGAGGAACTCTAGGCATTTATTGTTCTTATGCAGTAGACACAAGGTCATGAAGTCTGATACTGTAGCTTAACTGTTATATGTGTGTGCATGGAAGGACTTCCACAAATTAAGAGACTGAATATATAACTCATGTGTATAAAAGACAGCAATTGTCACTGGAACATACAACAAATTCCTGAAGGTGCTATGGACTAAGGGCCTGGCAACATATGCCAGGGTGGGTTGAGGCAGAAGCAGAGGCCTGTGCTTTGCCTAGGTGTGTTAGTCTCAGAATAATGTTTGTTTTCCTTCTTGAAACTGGTACTGGAGGCTTTTGCCTAGGAGGTTTCTTTGTGGATTTTGGGCAATAGTGCCTGTAACTATCTTAGGTTTTATTTTTGTGTTCATGCCTGACACAAGGTACTTGCTTGTGTCTTGGTTCAGTGTTATTGCCCAAGGAAATTGTAAGGTCATGAAACATAAAGCAATAACATATATGGTAGACTAACTATTTGACAGAATTAGTGAATTCAGAATAAGGAATGAATGTATAATTCTGGGTGGGACCAATAACATTCCAAAGAAGAGTCAGTATCTCACTTGGAGGTTTTCCTCCTAATTTCATATTTTCCTGATTCTGCAGATGACTCAGTTGATGAAAACACTGGCTCTGAAACTCAGACAGAAGATGGTGATTCAACCAACAAAGAGAGTGAGAGCAGTGATGATACCAACAATGAGGAGACAGGTGATGACGACAATAGCAAGGATGATACCTCTGAAGAGAAAGAAGGGGAAGACGATAAAGACAATAAAGATGAAGACAATGAAGAGAAGCCCAGACAAAAACACAGTAAAAACATTTCATCTAATTTTGTTCTTCATGGGATTCTTAGATGCCTTAGGTTCTCCTTGATCATAGTGAATTGTACTTTAGTGAGGAAGCAAGAGACAGTAAGGAGAGGAAGAAGAAGAGACACCTCTTTTATTCTTCTTTTTTAAATTCATGAAATTGTCTATATATCAGTACCAGAAAGATCAAGTTGACGAAAGCATGTTATAAATTGCATGACTCCTGCAGTATTAGGATTCATTAGAGACAATGTGCATTCAACAGAAATCATTGAAAGTGTAAAGTGTCTCCATGTAGCACAGTACCTGCATGGCTTCTTCTTTTCTTAAAAGTTATATTTTCTTTGGAGACTATTCTAAAAATAGAAATAAAAAATGGCTTTGTGATAAGGTCTTCCAGCGATGAAAGTTATAGCACATATCAGGAGATTTCTAAAAAGTTTAAAAATATATTCAAGATGAAGGAGTCTTTCTTGGATTTTTCCTAGCCCTTCAACTTTAAGGTAATACCAACTATATTGATTACAGTATATTATGTTTATTATATTCTATGCATATGTCAAACATCATGTTATAAAATTCACATTTCTTTTTTTCCTTTTTTTCTTTTTTTTTCTTTTTTTTCATTTTTTTTTCACTTTTTTTTCATTTTTTTCTCAAATAATAATTAATTCACACAGGGGCTGTAAACACAGAAAGGCAGGATGTGGGGAAGGGAATGACACTGGAGTGTGGGTGTTCAGGGGTAATAAGATATCTTCAGAACCGGGTATCGGCTAGGTGAAGGTTCAGGGGACAATTCACTATGACTCTGGCTATGACTCGCTTGTCCGTATCTAAGTTAGTATTGTCTGCCAAGGCTACCTATTTACAAGGTCTATGAATACTCAGGCTTATAAATTTCCACAAAAGCTGCCTGTTGACATTAGCTTATAGCCATCTGTTTCAATGTTTTTCCACTGAGACCCAAGACTTGGTGTTAGTATACATGTATGACAGGCCTATTGCTGATTTTAGGCCTATGGCTGATTTTAGGCCTACAGTGTGTAAGCAGGGCTGCCCCTGACATCTCCTCCCTTCTCTAAGTATAGAAGGGCTGTGGCAATTCTAAACTTGTGAAGGCGGGGATAGAGGCCTGACCTCCAGTATTTGAAGGGGACCTTGTAATGGCTCCAGTCCCCCTGTCGTTGTCCAGTGAGGCATGAGGGCCATACCCATCCAAATGTCTTTTTCCTGCAGAGAGGATACTTTTGACATCAACCCCTATGCAGTCAGGCTTGTCCCTCAGGGAACCCAGATAGATATTTTTATCTTTTATTGATATTCCCTTGCAGTGCTTAGCCTCGCAGCCTAAGCAAGAATTCAGATCGCCTGTCAGAGGGGGTTATGGGTGGCCCCTCTTGGCTTGGTCTAGGGGCAGAAGTCCCCCTTTAAAGTTGGGTGGAGATGGGTTTTGGAAACACCCTGTATAAAGTAACAACATCATCTTGAGTCTCGTGGTCCTCCATAGCTAACTTATGATAATGTATCTGAGTAGGTTTTGCTACCAAATTATTTATCTGTTGTATCACAGAGTTAGTCCGCCTATTTGAGAGCCAGGGACCAGCAGAAAAAAGCAAAAAGAACCCAAATAATGGTCCCAAGATGGAAGGAAATAGGGTTGACAACCTTGGGGAGGCTGCAAACCAATTCTTGTACCAGCATTCATCTGTCTCTTTCTCTCTCTGATTTTTCTTAGGGCCTTCACTACCTATTTCATGCTCTCTTTAACCCTTCTTGTCTTGTCTATATAAAGGCAACCTTCTTCTTTGAGGGTTGTATACAGTCAAGAGCTGTATACAGCCTTTTCTATTGTACTAGAGTAAATCAAGTCCAATAAGGATCTTTGCGATTTTACGAGGTCTCTTCAGACATCGAAACGAGGGATTTCTTCAGATTAGTGATGTCAATATCTAGCTATTTGATATTCTTGTCAGTGGCCCTTCAAAGGTCTGAGTAGTATAAGTTCGGAGGCCAGCATCTGGATTAGAACTTCTAACAGCAGATATCATGGGTGATTCATTTTTACCTGGAAAGGAAAAAGAAGGGGATTCTCAGGGAGATTTCTCTTCCCTGGATGTAAATTGTTATTCATCATATTTATGGTTGGGAGTGGCTTTGTGGGGGTACCTATTTTTTTCTTTAATCTTTTTGGTAGCCGGTTAGCTGTGCCTTCTATGGTATCAGACAGGCATATCAGTCCTCGACCCCATGAGGGAACTGGGTCTGGGTCATTCCCTTTAAGAGTAAGACGGTCCTTCCCCATATCTGTGGCAAAGTTTTGTTGGTCTAGGTGGTGCCAGAGGCAGTCAGCAGCAGATTTGCCATGAGCTTTCAGCTTTAGAGAGATAAAAGTGAACAAGGCATGATGGAGAGTATTTCAGGGGGACTCCTTCTGAGGGGGTACCGTTCCCCCTCTTTTGTTTTTAAAGCCAATTTTTCAGAGTTCTTGTAAAATCAGGGCAGAAGCACCAGCAGTCACTCCTTCCACACTCAGAGAGTCATGAAGACCCTATTTAAGGATATATAAATCTATATTAATAATCTTTTGTCAAAAGACTGTTATAGCACCGCTGACAACTAATCAGACTATATAATATATCGCTTAGTAATAGCTTCTTCTACTTTTTGTGAGATTACCTCTCTTTTGTCAATTAATTGTTGAGGAAAATTAGGGTTTACCTCTCTCTTGAGAATATTGAACAGGGACTTAAATTCTTTAGTGGAGAGCTTAAAACAGGATCTTAGCCAATTAGCAACTCCTAGAAACTTTCGAAATTAATTTAAAATAAGTAAACTC